CTCAACCCACCTATTTATATTTATGTAAACATTGTTAGTGAGAAGAAATACAATTTGCTTATACATCACCTTCATTTCCTGATACTGTTGCTTCAGAGTTTGTATTTGATTTGAATTCCAAAGATGTATTTGATTTACTATGGTAGGCACCTTGCTGATCGGAGTCATCAGCAACCATGTCAGCAACATATTCATGGAAATTGAAATATTCAGACATTCTATTCACTAATCTCTAGTGTCTCCATCCATTTCATTCTTTAAAAATCCAAAAATGTTCTAAAGTGAACAAAATTGGATAATCGTTATTGCTGTTATTGTTTATTTTGTCCTTTTTTCAGTTTTTTCACGATTGTCATTTTAAAGGTTCTGTCAAAGTTCTGTCCATGTCCTGTCACTGTCACGTATTGACCTTGGTTCGACGTTCGACCTTGCTGATGACCGAAAATCTGGGAAGTCTGTAGTGAAGTGAAAATAGCATCCATAGCCAGCTGCAAATTGAAGACGGCAGCTGTGACAATGCTCAAGTTAGAACAAGATGAGTACAAGTCGTCTATGTGTGGTTTGTCTGAAGACAATTTTCGTTCCGATATATTTCAGTCTTCTCGTAGGGTGTTTGCGGCAAAGGCAAGTCTAGATACACGAAAAAAACCGTGAGCTAAAATCTAATATTTTTCCCGTGTATAATATACACTATTTTTTTCTGTGACAGAAGAAAGGACGAATCAATATTGAGAAGATATTACATTATTTTGAAATCTGAAAATTATGGACGTGAAATTTTATGTTTTTTACAGTAGGGACACCTGCGTTGTAGGCATCTTTATCATTCTTTTGAAGTAATCAAATATCTGATGTCACTTCTGTCAGTCTGATTCTGTGATTTGATTTCAAAAAATTGCGAATTTATAGTGGTTGTTTAGTAATATACGTAACCGCGAAGTCGAACGGAAGATAAAAGGACTTGCAGTTCTTTCTCGGAGACGGTATTATTGACTCATTTTTCGGAACTTTAGCACAACGAAAGCCATCAACAGCTAGTGTTTATATATATAATATTTGATATACAGGGTATGTCACGACGAGCTTACACTATGTTGGATCGAGAATCAGTCGGGAGAAATCCATGAAAATGTGCATGCTTATATTATTTCAGAGTACGCTCTCTTCATTCGAAATTTTCGACAATGCAGTGTTGCCGCTTCTACTAGAAAGTAGTAGCAACATTGATATTTCAAACGGAACACCCTGTATTTCATCGCATTTTCAAATTCTCCCTAAAGAGCTGATTTCATCGATATATCACACTTGGAGTCGATCGAAAATTATTACAGAGATATGGGTCTTTGAAATCGAGAATTTATTTCAACTTTTAGGATTTTTTTTGTGTCGAAACTATTCGTTATCGGTCAAAGCGGCTCACATGGTCCCTATCTCAACTTTTGATTCACTATTTACTGATATTCAATCGGAACAGACACAGGGTGGTTCAAGATTCAGAATTCTGATCACGATTCAATAAAAAATTTGTATGATTAGATTTTATTAATGTAACGACACGATTGAAATCAAATGAAAAGGAAATAATTAAAACGTCAACTTCTCAATATGTCGTCCATTCTTTTGCAAACATTTCCTAGCTCTTTTGATAACGTTCATTTTGACCCTATATGTATCACGTTGCGATCAATTTGAGCGCATAAATTCTTGATTTTCTTCTTCATTTCTTCCATATTCACAATTGGCGACTCATAAACCTGTTGTTTCAAGTAGCCCTATAAATAAAAATCAAGTGGGGTGAGGTCTGGCGACCGAGCTGGCCAGTTGCTATCACCATCAAGACACTTATTGGTGGTTATTAGATTTTCTCCGAACCGATAACGAAGATAATCCTTTACGGGTCTGTAGTTATGTGCAAGACACCCATCATTCGATTTCAATCGTGTTATATTAATAAAATCTAAGCAAATACATTTTTTATTGAATCGTTTCATTTTTTGCCATATCTTCGTAGGTAGTAATTTGAAAAAATCCCTCCAAACCAGGCATTGTTGAATTTGTAAAAATGAACTCTACTTGCGAATATGGAATAATATACTGCGGGTGTCCCTATTCGAATAAGGACGTTGATGTGCACTTTGGTGTGACCCTGTAAACCTACGATTTATTCAATAGCATATTTCGAGTGAGCATCATCAAATATACTGGGTGACCAAATTTCAAGTCATTCGATCGTGCGGTTGACTTTTTACAGGGGGGGACATTTTAGCTAGGACACGGTGGATATACCCAAAAATGCCCAAACGGTCTAGTGGTTAGCGACTCTTAGTCTGAAGGTCAATGGTTCGAGTAGCTGTGAACCTGAACTTTTTTTAAAACTTTTATTTTCACCGATGCTTTTTCACTTCATTATGGTTATCCTTCCTCAGAATCAGAAAATATTTGATTTCAAATAGGTTAGTGCGTTTACGATGAACAGTCTCATTTTTAATTTCCAATTTGTTTTCTGAAATAATTTTTCCGAAAAACATACTTTCTAGGAAGAAAGTTATTTTAAGCCGACAGGTTAGGTTAGGTGTTTGGAAAAGGTAGTCAGTCTCCTTTTTAATGGTTATGCAGAAAATATATTTTTCTCCCTCATATTCGATTTCAGTGCTGTTTTTATTCAGGAAATTCCGTGTAGACTTGACTCCACGAATTATTGACTCATTTTGCATCACTGCTGTCTTTCGGTGTACGTTCGGGTCAAGTTCGGGTAATTTAGGCGGCTCCTCCGTTAGCAAGTTAGACTTGTTCTATTTTTGATTGTGCAGAAGACTGAAACGTCAATGTCATTCGTTGTCAAGTCACTGAATAGCAAAACATCTGGAAGGGTATCTCCCATGCAGTAATGGATTTGCGCCTTCGAAGTGCCCACCTGATATTAGGTTAGATATTTGTTATTTTCATTTCATTATCTAAATAATCCGAGATTTACTAGTCATAAAAGACGTATTCTAGTAATCAATATCCAGAATACAGACTGATATAGCTTTATTGGCTATATTCAGAATTCAACTGGTCAGTACTGTCAGTAGATTCACTGACTGCTGAAAATCTGTGTTCCGAAATATACAATCAAAAATACAGTGCTGTAATTCTGAACACGTGTTAATGGTTTTCATCAGTGATGATCATCAGCAGCAGTTGATCAGTTGGTGAAATTTGATTATTCTCAACGTTAACTATTTTAATAATAGGCATTTTCTGATATTAAATATAATATTATTTTTAATTAAGACATGACTTGATATTTAAAAAACAAGGGAAATGAATGTGACATTCTTTGCCCCTCTAAAACAAAGCTAGTTCACTGAAGCCACAATTCCATTTGATAGTAAATGAATAGTATATAGTAGTAAGTAGACATATTCATTCCACAGTGGAGAAATTGAATGCCAATAATCTATTATTAGTCCACTCGCCCAGTCTTGTGCACAGTAAGCACAAGCAAAGGATGTAATGTCCTGAAATAGAAAAGGTCATCAAACTAAAAATACCTATATCGAATATTATTAATTTTCCTCAGTAAACGAATCCATCGGAACTGAAATAACTGAAATGATAATATTCTTCTTCGTTGTAATTTGTAAATCTAAAAATCAAACCAAAAACTAAAACACGTCAACTTCAACATAAAACTTACTGAACTTACCACAATAATCATTTCATATATCATTGTCATATCTTGAGCAATGCTCAGGCACCCTCAAACTGTCGTTCATGATGACAGCGAGTCATGTTCCTTGGTGTTCGAAACAATCCTTGGTCATCGACTCAATGTTTCGAAACGGCTATTATATTAGGGATAGGGGTGTGACGCACACTTCCTTTTGTGAAAAGTCATGGGTTGCGTGCAAGAACTGTCAGATAACCGACCCTGGAGGAACAACATTGAAACACAACCTCACTTTTCTTATTTGTTTACAAGTGATTGAAATAGTTTTTCACAATTAATGTGTCATACGAATGGTATTTCGGCGGCTATTCATCAATTCGCTCATGCCATCACATTGTGCTGTTGTACAATGCACAAAAACTGCAGCAGAAGACGAAGGAATCCTGTTGGTACATTATGATTTGAAAGTAAGTACCTACTATGGTCACATCATGTACATAGTTTTCATTTTTGAAATTTGGTAATTTCTCTGATTCCTCATCGGAATTCCTTCTGCAATAGGAGCTAATAGAAATACACGTGAGATTTCTAAAATAATGCAAGAAGATTGGATTCATGCAATCAAACGGGAGGACTGGTCTGACATGCTGACGAAATATGATCGTGTGTGTTGTAGACATTTTCAATCTATTAGCAGTACCAGCTTGTATTGCAGAAGTGGCAGAAGGAATTTCAATAAGGAATGACAACATTTCATATAATAATAACTATGTGAGATTACTATTTACCTGAAAAATCATATTCCTTCGTCTCTCGCTGCATTTTTTGTGCATTGTACAACAGCACAATGCGAAGGCATGCTTGAATTAATGAATAGTGCAAAAAACACGATTCGTTTGCCAAAATATTGTGAAAAACTATTTCAATCCTTCGATTCCTCTGTAACCAAATAAAAAAGTGAGGTTGTGTTTCAATGATTCACAGAACAGTGAGGTTGTGTTCCAATATTTTACCTCCATGGTCGGTTATCGTGCACGCGACCTATTATTATAGGGTGCTTTCGTAATGTTTTATAGTTCAACACTAGCGTCTACAGACAGGGTCGTACTATTATTAATTAGGGCTGCTGGTTACTCATTTCGTTGTATCGATATTCCGATTGTATTCCGGTTATATCGATATTTTCGAATATTCGAATATACAATTACTTGGATATTCGAATTTTTGTTGAATCGCTTTTCAACAGTGTACCTATCTAATGTCTTTCGAATGAGAGTTAGCACTTCTGATACTTCCATAGGGCTATCATCATCAATGTAGTGAAATTAGTAATTTTCCTTTTTTTTTCAAGGGAGACAGTTGTTGATATTTATTCACTTAACGTTACCTATAACATTACAAAAATTCGAGTAAATATCTCACAAAAATGCCATATTTAACCTTATTCATTTGTACAATTCAATTGTGGCCGATTTCTTTACAAGATAGGTAAAAATAGGTCATTTCAATCAATACAAAATGGCAATACAATGAAAAGACGATCTTGTGCAATTACAGTTTTGAATAATACAACTTTCTGAAAAGCACAGTGGTAAGTTAAACAATTTCAAATCAGATCAGCTCAGCTCACATTTCTTCTTCACTATTGGACATCTCCACTGCTTCATAAACAAGACTGAAACCTTTACCAACCAGAGTATCATCTGTTCTGAATCTCACCAATAATGCACCATGAGTGGAAATAATGTCGAAAGGTTTCTAAAAAAAATGAATAATTAATTTTATCTGCCCACTGAATCGAAAGTATGGGAGCAATTGCTAACACATTTAAGGAAGCAAATAATAAACTGCCAATTAACACCCACTTGAAAAAATACACGGTTTCAAATATATCTGTTCGTGGATAAAATCATATATGCTTACATACCTACCATGGAAGCAATGGTTGATGGTTCATTTCCTCCCTTATGTATCCAATGCTTTATGCTACGCATCGGACATCTAACCAGTATATCTATTTCACACGCGGGAGGAAATGAATATTTTGCTCCGTTGGTATATATGCATGCAACGATTTATTATTTATATAGGTACTTAATATGTTTTCTTTACACGGTCACGTAGATGAACACAATCATAATTCAAGTAGGTACGTAAGTAGGTATCTTGGCTTCAGTGAAATATACAGGGTGTCTGATGGTGACTCGATGGCCATAGCATATTCCTTGAACAATTCCAAGTCGAAAGTGCCTCATACACTGTTGTCTTAAACTCAATAGTTAACAAGTTATGAGCAATTAAATAACAACTTTGCTCACCATGCAGTACATTTCAAGAGGTAGTCAGTTCTTTGACCACCGAGGTTACCAGCTGCGCATCCATATAACGACCCAGCTACTTTTCAGAGAGCAACGTTTTCAATAATTAGACGAGGGGCAGGGAGTGAGTCATTTTGAACAAAACCTCAATTAAATTTGTGTAAGTAATAAAACAAATTGGAAATGATAAAATATTACATTACTTTATTCAACATTCTCTTTGCGTCACTACATACTTCTGTTCGATTTAATATTGCTCATTACTCTTGAACTATAGAGTTTTGGACAAAAGTGTATAAGGCACTTTCGACTTGAAATTGTTCATGCAATGTGACCTTAAGCTGTGGGCATCGAGTCGCGGGACACCTTGTATATTAGATTTTTTCTATGTTCTGGTTCCCACGAAAAGAGATATCCTGTAATGTTCAGAGAACATCGTGAGAACCAAGGGAAATAAGGTAGGAATTGGTGTCCTTCTTAAATTTCTGGAGGTTATATGCCTCGGGGAACACCTCCCTTGGCAATGTGTTTCAGAGCCTCGCTGTTCGTTGGAGAAACGAGTCTTTGGAAAGAGATGAACTGCAGGTCTCCAAAGTGACCACGAAGGGATGCGAAGCCTCAACTCGACGGGTTAATCGGTTAATCTCGCGGGGACTGCGCCATGGAAGGAACAATGATGGGCTTATATCACAAAAAAAAATTTATTCCATAATTCGATAGAACTCACCTAAACTAGCTCATCACCGCAAACCCTTTCTTGCTGTGAGCTCCCTACGTTTTATAAAAAGTTATTGAAATCCCCGGTTTTTCGGACCTCTGAAAACGAGGTGATGATGTGACGTCAAAACCCTGATACTGAAACAAGACTATTCCAGACAGAGATGAATGATACATGATTTCTGACAGAGTGAATTAGCGCGAGATCACAGTTGAAAGAATCAATATATCAGTTGCCTCAGTCTCCGTCGGGCGATTGGTATTTTCTTTTAACTATGGCGAGATGAGGTTTCTACGTCATAAAAGGGTCCGTTTTCAGAAGGTACCATTATTTATGTCCAAAAATAAAATGTTCCAGTTAACTTTTCGATCGAATTATGTCGTCAATCATTATTTAAGAATAAAAGGATCATTATAAACATGGTTTGAGTTAAAAGTTCTACTAAGGTGTACATTGTTGAATAGTTATTTGTTCCTTATGAAGATGCCAACATGCGTTTGATGATTAGTAAAGCGTAGAATGGAGATACTTTCGGAACTATGGGGTAAATTGTGACAAAAGTTCACATTTTCAAGATATTTCTGAAATCTAAAACTGATAGTACATAGTTCAAATCAAGGTTGGTAGTATTGATATATGATAATTTGTAGAGGAAGGTCGCCTTGATCAAAAAACGCGTAGAGGGAAAACAGAAATTTTTCACGAAATCGTATCAATAATCATGTTAGGTTTATAGAAATGTATTCATAATTCAATATCACAGCTGAGTTGGCGAATCTACTCACTTGTCAACATGTTTTTCATTACGATAGTCAGAATTGCATAAATTCTCCGAGAAATTATTATTATTATTATTAAATCATTTCATAATTTTTTTTGTAAAATTTTTATATCGCCATTTCGAAGTTGAGAACCAACTCTTCAGAAGTCGAAGATCAGGAAGAGCGGGACCTATATAGCTTATAGTAGATTATGAACCACTTATAGGGCACCAAGTTACTGCCAGGATCACAACCAAGAATCACACATTTCTAAGAAAAGTGTTCTGACGAGTTGGATTCGACAACACCTTGAGTGTCAGTAAGCTCTCTACTGTGACCTTGATATCGTGGACGGCTGTCTAGTGAATTTGAGCGCCTTATATAAACCGCTCGGATGGAAGATTTCTCTAAATGGAAGAGGAAGTAGGGCGATAGCTCATTCGAAACGTCTTTCAATTCTCTATATACAGTCCTCCCGTTTGATTGCATGCATCCAATCTCCTTGCATTCTTTTTGAATTATCGTCAAGAGTTTTTTCTACAGCCTCTATCGCAGAAGGAATTCCGATGAGAAATAAGAGAATTCACCAAATTTCAAAATGAAAACTACCTATGTGAGTGACTGTATATGTACTTACTTTAAAATCATAATGTACCAACCGGATTCCTTCGTCTCTCACTACATTTTTTGTACAATGTGATGACATGCGCGACTAGCTGAAAAACACTATTCGTATGCCATAATAATTGTGAAAAACTATCTCAATCATTTGTAAACAATTAGGAAAAGCGACGTTCTGTTTCAATGTTTCACCTCCAGGGTCGGTCAACTGACATTCTTGCACTGTGTCTGACTGTGTACTGTTCGAAACGTTACTTGAAACGTGACCCATGCGTTTTTTTCCAGGTTTTCCGAATAGTTTTTAGTTGCAAGAACGTTTGAACGAACCAAAATGAATTGTTTCGAGAAAAATAAACCCATGTACGAATGTATGTTATAATACTGCCATTGCAGCATCTACAGATGTTTTTTGTTGTGATGCTTACAATAAGTATTCTACACATCATTAAGCAACTGCTGAGTATTTCATCATCATCGCGCGTCAATCGCGCGAAAATATCAATCCAATTGATCGCGTCGCTTTGCCTCTTGTCGCGTGTTCATCGTTTGTCGCATCGCGTCGTTTCGCGTTCGCAATTCGCATAGCAGTCGCCCACGTAGGACACCGCGTTAGTGTCTGTCTACTCTATTTGAGCCCCCATCGAAGATGATCCAGTGGTTTTATCCCATCAGGCGAAGACAAGGATCGTGATAACACGATATACCAGAACTTTAGCCAACAATTTTCTTCCAAAACAAAATGGCGGGCGATTATTTTTGAAATTTCATATTCAGATTTTTTCGACTAGATGGCTATATTAACACACTCTCCTTTAAGCTTCAATACTTCTTATATTTACTACTAATACATATCTTCAACTAGATATGATTTAATCTTATCTTGAACTACTTATTTAGTAGATCGGAACGTCGATATGAGAATTACTTTGTTGGAATGATACCCGAGATTTCTGAAGAACGTTCCCCGAAGAAGTATCTATTGAAAAGCGAAACATTGCTGACTTTCCTACAGTGTTCCAATGATGTCAAGGCATTAGTTACTGTGGCATCACCAATCAGGCGAATGGTTAGTTTCTGGATGGAACTCATCAAGAGGTGATCAGCTTATGTTTGGGTGCTGAATCCCATAATATGTGGGAACAGTATCCGTATCTGTGTTTGTAGATAATAAGAAGCAGTTCAGGTGTAAAAGTGCTTTTCGTTCTGAATGATAATCCGAGTTTTTGTGAAGCAGCTATCGCGATGGATCAACTCATACATATTTTATGATAGATCAATATTCCCTACCATGATTAATAATTTCCCTATATGTACCCATATTTGTATCTGAAAATTATATCTCCATTCTACATAATCATCAGTTAAAATTATGTGAGATTATGACAACAACAACAACAATATTTTAGTGTTCATTCGAATACCACATATACAGCGTGTCTCACTTATTTGAATGATCACACATCCCTCTTTATTCCAGATATTATAGACATGCGATTTCGAATTTCAAAAAAAATTTGAATGGTATGAGAGACGATCGAAATGATAACTTTTTAGATACGAACATTACTTTGGATAATATTATGCATCTTCGATGAATCACAAAAAGATACCATTCTTCACATAATAATGTTGGGCTTTTTTTAACTGGAAACTTGACTTCAAAGTATTGTTCATCATGCTTCTGAACCTTTCAACATGCAGAAGCTAGTATATAATTTCCATGCATTGTTACGGGATCTTATGTAAACAGTTACCTTAACCCCAACGTCGTTAGATTTTGGAAGCTTACCTTTGTTCCACAATACTTTCCATAGGACGGTCCACTCGAATCCAAACCACTGAAAATTTCAACATAATCGTACCCACAATCCTTTTCATCTTCAATATCGAATGTGAGAAAAGACAGTTTAACATTGTAGCCCCCTCTTGCCTCGATCGTCCAATCGCAGTCTTCTCGGAGTCCATAACTCGTACTACCAAATTTTGCGTGAGAATAAATATGTTGTTTTTCAAATGTAGCGTCCAGCATTCCCCCGCAAACAGTGGAGTGTGTCGCCCAGAATCCAATCCTTTGAACCGAAGCATCCGATCTAAACGTCATATACAACTGATTGCCGGAAGATATTATGAGATGTGGTATCTTCGAACCGCAGAACCTTCCCAAAGAAGGAGCCTCAGGAGAAGGGCCGTCATAGAAATCGACGTGATCGTAAGAGCATTCCTGATGAGGCTCCAGTTCGAAGAACTGAAAAGATATTCTGATTCTGTGCCCGGGGGTCGTTGTGAAGTGCCAGACACAATCTTTCCTGGCTGGATAATATTCTGGATAGTTTGGACTTGTTAAAGTACCGTAAGGGTTGGACATCTCATGTTTGCAACCGCCTTCCTTGCAATCGTGTCCGTTTTCATGAAGGGTGTAGCCGTTGTGGCAAGTGCAAACGTATGATCCTAGAGTGTTCAAACAGTCGTGTTGACAACCACCATGATTGACTGCACACTCGTCCATATCTGTGAAAATTCAACTGTTAGACGAGAGGTAAGTGGAGGTACCATTAGTGAATCGATTGTCAACTGGCCTATTGCAACTGATGAAGCTTGGCAAGCCGAAACAGTCTGTCATTAGATAAAGCTTCAATAATCCTAGCAACATATTTTTGTGATTATAGGTATAGAAAAGCAGTGAAATGTGCATATACGGAATAACTAAAATGGCACTTCTATCTCATATCCTATCGTATCTACTCAGAAGATACGATAGGATATCGACAGTACGATGATATCCGGATCAATATTATAGAATGACCAACAATAAAATCATCTGATACTTACCTGTGAAATAAATCCCAGCAAATCCTGATTTCTGTACGCTGGAATCTGAGTAGAATACAATACGCATCACATTTCCATCTGAGGTTATCAATCCAGGTGCTTTGGGACCACAATAGGATCCATGCTTTTTAAGCTTTCCCTCTTTCAACTTGCTGTAAACTTCGACTCTATCATATTCGCATTGCTGTTGCGGAGAGTTAAGGTTGCCTTCCAAATCAAAATGAGTGAAATTGATTGTAATTTTGTATTGTTGTTCAGCCACTATTTCCCATATGCAATTTTTATTCAGTGGGTAATAATCTGGGAATGATGGAGAAGTTATAGTTCCTGTTACGGCATCGTACACTCCACCACAGGCATCTATAAAATTAATACAAACAAATTTATCGAATATAACCAGAACAAAACCAAAATATTATTCAATCAAATATTTATGGCACCTGAAAATTCACGTTCCATGTAATCAAGAACACTTTTGTCTTTGTTTTACTAACCTTCACAATTTTTACCATCCGAATGGAGCTCAAATCCGATTTTACAACTGCAAACATAACTACCTAATGTATTGACGCATTCCTGCTGACACCCGTGAGCTATAGTAGAACATTCGTCATACTCTTTCATTATGTTTGCAGAAAATCCACCTTTTTGAACAGAGCCATCAGACACAAATTTTACTAGCATTTTATTACTAGTCGAAATTACATCTGGTGGAATCTTATGTCCACAATGCACTTTGATTATTGGACTAGTCAAAGTTACTCCATCTCTTATTTCCACGTAGTCATATACACAACTGTCATGGTTTTCTATATCGAAAGACTGGAATCGTAGAGCCACCTGATGGTTTTCTGGAACAGTTATCCTCCATATACATTCTTTATTCGGTTGATATTCTTCTGGATAGTTTGGCGATTCGAGGTGACCTTCGGAATCTATGAAAAGGTCTCCTCCGCATATGGCTTAAATAAAAACAATCATTGCCTGTTTCAGTGCTGATAAGTTTGAATCTATTACCCTCATAGTTGGCTGTGAATCCTTTTCTGCCCTTTGCGTTCTTTGCCACATAAGTCACGAGCATTCGGCTACCGGTAGAAACGATATGATGGTATTGCCCACTTCCGCAGAACAATCCAAGGATCTGAGACTTGTACCAGTATCCATCTCGTACTTCGATGAAGTCAGCTTGACAATCGGGAGACTTCTCAATGTCCAGATTGGTTATATTGAGCACGATTCTTTCACCGTGCGTCGCTGTTATTCGCCATTCACACCTCACACCCTCTTCTGGGGGGTTCTCTTTATACGTTGGAGGGCTGAAGCTACCTGAATTCGTTTGATATGTACGACCACATTCTGAAAAATTTAATCTATTAGTAGATAGATAGATAGATTGATTTATTGTATAAAAAGAATTACAATAATTCTTACAAGGGTTGGGTAATCTGTAACGAATGAATACATGAGAGCTAATAGCTAAAACGAAAATCCTTCCTGCGTGACCATGATTAAATCTACTAATTAAGACATTGAAATTATAATTGATATGCAAGTTACTCATTCACAACAAAATATCTAAGCTTTAACAAATTGATCAGAACTTGTACTAGAAGTTTCAAGTCAGCTAGGCCACCATAATTTAGAAGATATATTAAATCATCTAGAGATTCAATGTCTTGAAATAATCGACCTGATACCAGCATAAACTGGACATTCAAAGAAAATGTGTTCCAAAGATTCCGGTCTGTGGAGATTGCGAACAGTAAATTCATCTTCAGTATTTATTTTATACACTATTCGATTGAAGGTAATTCTAAGGGACGACTTACTGCATGTCCTTAGTTTCTTGTAGCAGGACTTTAACAGCTTGAAGAAGACATTTTTTTAAGAGGAAAATTTTATACAAACATATATGCGTGGGAGCTTCGTTTCCGATTCACAGGGTGTCAAAGTTTTAGATTTTTTTTATGTTTTTTGAATTTTCTCCTACAATTTTCGGAATAATTGATTGGAATTTGGTACACCTAATACACTTCAAAAACTCAATATTTGAGGCTATTGAGCGTTCTTGAATACCTAGAGGGTAATACAGGGGTCGTACCCAATTTAACCCTATAGAACTTTTTTGCGTGCCGCCTCTGCTTTCAATGAGACATAGATTCAGATTGTCTCTGCAATTTGGAAATTTTTTGCCCCATGTATGTTTTTCGAAAACTGTATGGATTTCGAGATAAATAAAAGTGGAATCCGAACCACTTCTAAGGGTACTGATAAAATTAGAACTGCCGTTCACGAGATTAAATTATCAAAACTCACAACACCTCAACCGTCAGAAGCGACAGTCTAGCGATGTATAGCGCCTAGACCGTGTATCATACAGTCCCTGATTTCAGATTTTGCAATCCAGTTAGAGAAGTTTTTTCAAAATAAAAACATTTTTTCTTTGTGTTTCCTAGTTTCAAATATAATGAGGTTCAAAAAATGCAATCTAATTTTGCAACTGTATTTCATTTGGTATGGAAGCTTTCGGTCATTCTATTCTCCAATAAAATGTCAAATAAGTGTGTTTGAGAAATAACGGTTTTATTACAAGTAATTTATTTATGGCATTTATCTCGAGATCCACACAGTTTTCGAAAAATGTACATGAGGGCAAAAAGTTTCCAAATTGAAAGGACAATCTGAATCTACGGCCCATTGAAAGCAGAGTCGGCACGCAAAAAAGTTCTACAGGGTTAAATTGGGTACGACCCCTGAAAGTCTATCACCCTGTAGGTATTCAAGAACGCTCAATAGCCTCAAATATTGAGTTTTTGAAGTGTATTAGGTGTACCCAATTTCAATCAATTATTCCGAAAATTGTAGGAGAAAATTCAAAAAACATAAAAAAAATCTGAAACTTTGACACCCTGTAAATCGGAAACGAAGCTTCCACGCATATATGTTTGTATGAGATTTTCATCTTGAAAAAATGTCTTCTTCAATCTGTTAAAGTCCTGCTACAAAAAACTGAAACACCCTGTATATATGGAGACGCGCGCTTTGAGGTAATTTTGAACATTTACCCGTAGGTATAATCTCTGCCCGTAGAGAGGATAGGAAGATTGGCTCAAACTCTCCAATTCAATGCTTGAAAGTTTATTGTTGAATATATGTAGAAGAGGAGTTATAGCTTTCTTGGAACCATTGTGCAGGAACTGTTGCAAACGATTGAAGATCCCGGCAAAAGAGAATGGGAAATCTAATCTATTAGTATCTAGTTTGGACCAAAGTTTCGGATAAATTCGTTACTCCCAGTACGAAAATGCCTTTAAACTAATTTGCTCACCGGCTCAAAGTGATTCAGGAACGAAGGCAATTGTGACACTAACGCCTTTTAGCATAAAACACCATTTTGTTAGTTAAAAAACTGGCATTTGATTAACATTAATATTTCACAACATTGTATGTATATCTGTACACATCTAGATAAATGAAGTCGTCGTCCCTTCCAAACTCAAAAAAATAGCGTCAACCTCAGGGAACGGAGCACACTAGCACACCCACTGTATGTATAGATTGGCGAAAAAAAGGAAGAACTAATTAACAGAACTCTCTAGCGCAAAACTAATATAGAAAAAAGTCAAAAGTTACCTCCATATGAATAATCAGGACTGAAAAATAGACCAATAAACCGAGGGGCACCGTGGCCGAGTTTTGTTTATGCGCTGAAATTTGCTAGATAGCCGTTCACGATGCGAAGGTACTAACGATTCGAATCCGGCTTGACTGGCAATTTTTAGTTCTTTAAACTACCATGTATTTTCATACTAACTCTTCTTTTCTAAATAGCTACCAAAGAAATATTTATACCAATTTGTATCAAGTAACCTACACTTTTTTAAGGATGAAATATTTTCTTGTAGAACACTTCATTCTCATTTCTAACTTATCATAATTATTCTGAAATCTGGATAACTCGAAATTATTTTCTACTATTTAGTTTGGTTTGCTATTGAATAGTTTCTTATTAGTTTACTCATCCAAAGTCGAATTCATTTTAAACTTGATTCGAACTATCTCTGAGACCTGATGATGTAACCTAAGATATTATATGTCTTACTTGAACACTTGTATAGAAGGTTCGTCTGGGCTATATCTCCTTCACTCAATCGTATCCTTTGTCCGATTTCAGGCCTTTTTCGACCTGGCATATCAATAGGTTGGATGGTATCCAGATATGTACCCTTCGAGAATGTATTTCTCGCATAATGCATAATCGAGTCATAATCATAAGTGAGCCCTAAAGAATTCACTTCGTCCTCGTTGAGCTTATTGAAGTTATATTCTTGACCTGTGGACAAACAAAACTAGTCCAGTGGTCAGGTAGTGTTACCTGTAAATAATTCCCGGAGTTCTGATTTCGGGTGCGTTGAATAGTGCTAGGGGTTCTTAATAACACATCCATTTTGCAACCCCGAAATCCTTGAAGAAACTCCAGAAACTTCCAAAATGTGTAACAAAATCTTTTTTTTTCCATAATAACTCAGCACTGGTCCATTCTGGGAAAAATAGTAATCTATAAAATAATAATAAAGATAATTAAATTCTCTAGAATTCATAATCCAATCGTTGCAATCGCATGTCACTAAGATCCGAGAAAGTATACTGTTTCTTCATGAAGTCAGCGGTAGTGACACTAGGTACTTCAGCACTTTAAAATCATGGCAAAATCAAGTTTTTCAATTTTCTTCGGAAGAACAAGAATTTGCAGAGATATATTTTATTGTTTGAAGACGAGAATGCAGATAAGGATGCCTTAGCCGAAGCAGGAGAATGTTTTCTCCTATCTTTATGCGGAGCTGATTCCATGAAAAATTCTTACAACGTGCACCGATACAAATGTTTTCTGCATTCAATAACAAGAAGTAAAGCAAATCTTGCCTCTTTAACATCAACTGAAGCAGCAGTACGGCAACATTCGTGCGAACATACCAACAGGTTAAACTCTGGCTTGGTAAGGAGGAGAGACCTCTACATAATGGCAACGAAAAAGTAATGGTGTTCTTACTCCAGTTACAACACTGAAGGATCCTGCCCCAAACAAAAATAGAAAGGTATTTCGTGCAAATGCAAAGAGGGCTGTGGATTAGCTTGTGATTGCAGATTGCAGGAAGGAAGTTTTCAAATGTCCAATCATTTGCGGAGGTATCAACGGTGTTATCAACGGAGCTCAGTTATGAAACTGATGAAGAAGGCATTCTTCAGACCACCATTGAGACAATTATGCGAGATGGTAATCATGATATACCACTATCATTGTATGATGATAGTGATATCTCAGATGATGAACTCAGCATACCTCTGGACCACCAAGACTTTCATTATTTGACGATTGAACTCATTTAGTGGAATAGGCTTACTGGCGAAAGAAACGCGCCATTTATTCTACCGCAAGGTGGTGTGGAATCGAATGAAATTAAGTCATAATTAGAGGGTTTCCAGTGATATATTCCATAATATTAGTTTAGAGTCCATGAAAGTTGAAAATAAATGATTTTTATGTAAGCGGTACAAGCATATATGTATAAACTTTATCTCATTATCACGCCTAGACTATGAGTGGTACAGAAAAATTCATTGAATATGAATGGTAGACAATTTAATTTTCTTTATCATTGTATAGAATACTATTTTTCCCAAAATGGACCAGTACCGAGTCATTTTGAATGAAAAACTGATTTTGGTACACATTTTGGAAATTTCTGAAGTTTCCTCGAGGATTTCGAGGTCGCAATGTGGATGTGTTACAAACAACCCCTAGCACTATCCAACGCCCCAGATATCATAACTCCGTGAATCATTTCCAGGTGAAGCCAATTTAATCGACCTGCCGTCTGAGCTAAAAATATTTCATCTTCATTTCATGAGCATGTGCGGAAAATCGGAAAATGTTTATATTATGTTCTAACATATTCCATGAAATGTACATATATTTTACCTATACCAGATGGTTTGGTCATGAGACCCAAGTAATCCCATCCGTATACTGGTATTGGTATAAAGGTGAGTAAATTTCAGGGTACAAATTTCCAATTGACCATATTTCTGATGGAAAAGGTCAGCGATATTGTGCTATTTGTTGGCAGCAACTATACGGTCAAATTGAGTGTCATTAGACGAATGCATGTTTTTTGTCAAAGCCAAAAGTGTTCCAAGAAGTTGTTCTCGCTCTTATTTTGAATAATCTACAATTCACGAGTTTTTGATCTGATAGTAATACAATAATTTTGACAGTTGTGCCGATTTCATCCACTTTTGACATTCGACATCTTGTAGCCAACCTCACAATACAAAATGTCTAACAATTGAAAATTTGGCCAATTTCACAATGAAAACGCAGGTAACTCGCGTAACTTAGTTTCAGATAGTGCACTCTGACTTCTTCTCACCCCGTTTCACCAGTACCTCTTGAACTTTCGAGTCATTCAATTTATAATTTAATTTTTTTCTATAATTCACTTTCCGTTCTCGTCAGGTACATGGATAATCATATTATACTCACCACTCATTATATTCTCCCTAATTATATTAACATGTTTATCTCTATCAGGTCTGGTGTGTTCATGCCAAAATCCCACAACGTGTCCAAGTTCATGCACTATGATTCCAAATTTATCACAGTTCTTTCCTATACTGATTGCCTGACCACCGTTTCCTCTTTTCCCAACAAATGAACAACATCTAGAACAAATTTTGTCCATTTACTTTCTCACCCTTACTAATAGACCAATACAATTTGAAGCCATCAAGGAAACCTCAGATTCCAAATCTCCTAAGGGAGGAATGAAATAAATATAAGGAAATATTATTTTTATATTTGTGACATTGTGACGCTATATCATAGAGAATGAGTATCTTAGTGAATACAATTTTGTTAATCTCAGTTAAACTGTTTCCAGAAACTGTATCTGGTGGGATTGAACAATAATTATGGAATACGTCCTATATAAACATTCAAACATTTATTCATTTATTCATTTATTCATTTATTCATTTATTCATTTATTCATTTATTCATTTATTCATTTATTCATTTATTCATTTATTCATTTATTCATTTATTCATTTATTCATTTATTCATTTATTCATTTATTCATTTATTCATTTATTCATTTATTCATTTATTCATTTATTCATTTATTCATTTATTCATTTATTCATTTATTCATTTATTCATTTATTCATTTATTCATTTATTCATTTATTCATTTATTCATTCAAATTTTAATATAGCTGTGTATTTATGCATTATATATTGATTCATTTATTTATTATTGTCGGTCACCATAATAGACGTTGAGTTATTCAGCGAATAAATGATGATTTATTTTTATCAGTTTGTAACAATAACAAAGCATAAAAAGCTGAATTGTTTTGAAATTGATAACCGAACTAACCATAACTTTCAAGGCAGTTGCTGGACATATAAATAACTCAAATTTCATTTCGATACTTCAATGTTGTTAATAACCGAGTGTTGGCCAATTGATACCTATACTTTATCGCTACAAACAACAGAAGTGTCCTATCATAAAGTTACGAGGAATATACATATATCGAATTCTCATTGATAGAGATGTATTTAAAGGACATTGTAATCAAACCTAATAGTTGTATCAATCAAAATCAAAATGACCAGTTGAATCGCATGACGTTTGTTTAATCTATGGAACTAGAACTAGTAAATAATATGATACCAACACTAATCACTGTAAGCGTACAAGCTACTTTGATAAGAAGCGAACTCAAAATTGATTTAGGAAAGGAACAAGCAATCCGAGGCCGATGTTCTATTCTGCCTTCTCGTTAATAACTCCTCGACTCATCTTTGTCTGTTCCTATCTACCGGCCCTATTTCACCTAACTCATTAATTTTCCTCGAAGTATTAAGTGCGTTCTTTTCTATCCTAGACTATAAACATATTGTATAGATCATATACCGATAACTATAGCCAAGTGGTCTCCAACACGACCATCACATTAACAGTTCACGTTAACTCAAAAAATTGAAAATAGCAAGGTTGCTTTCCAATAATGATAATTCAAATGCAACTGCCCCGACATCTAAGTCGAATTGAGAGATATTATAGTACCTATACTTACGCCCTGAGAATATAATTATTCCGCATATTCAACAGAATATACAGATGGTCTAGATTTTTGTTTATTATATAGAATATAGTGCCTGGCAAAATGAGGGAATTTTGTTGAAGAACATATACCTCTTGACATCAATATACAAAAATCGGAATATATTTCGATAACATGAAAATAAACCTTTATATAATAGAATATTGAATAATTATACTCACAATACTTGGATACCATCTCTTATATTACTACTGAAACTGATATTTTTTTGTAATATATTTATTGCATAGATAGAAAGTGAAAACTTATACAGTGAGAAAGTATCTAGAAGCCACCATCACAATTCCGAAGTCTGTTTAACTTTACCTTATATCTGGTCTGTTGAAGAGAACAGAGCTGACGCAAAAACTTTTGGCCGATGAGCTATATTTTAAATACGATGATCTTTTCGTGAAAATCATTAATCGGATCTTCACATTACACAATTTTTGTCAATTGAAATGCTACCGACTGGGTACCTTAGGTTAGTTATAGGTACTTACCTATACATATTTAGATTCAAATAAAATATATACTGTAGAAACTCACCCACATGGCCGTTCAGTAAATATTATGTAGTTCTGATGTTCATCTCGATTTCTTTCCACAAATTTTATGCACGTGAAATTTTCCCAATGTCTCATGGCCTGCTTGAAAAGAGCTTTGTGCATGCCGCTGAAATTACCATCAATTTCATAAGGGATAACTCCGTGGTCCCATACCCTCTCCCGTCTTGCGGTGGCCGCCCTGGTCATTCTATGGACAATTTTATTTTTGTCGTAAGAAACGGTAGTCTTCCTCTTGAGATCGAAATTCGGTTCGAATTCATGAATTGGCGCTTCATTGGGTACCATATTGCCTGACCTTCAAAAATGGCTCGCATGAATCAGAGATCTGCAGAATTAAGGATCTTCTTGACCCGAATCATGCATCTACGACAGGAAAACGTCCAAAATATTATAGGCGCCTCCATGTATAGGATATATAGGGTGTTTCTTAAGTACGTGTAGAAAATTCAGGAGCATGTTGCTGACGTCAAAATAAGAAGAAAAGTTCGTATAAATAGATAGAGATACAGAGTGTCAAAGTTGAATTTTTATTTTTGTTTTTTGTTAAGAAATTTCAAAATAATTGTGATATTCGGATAAAGTTTGGCATCTAGGGGTATTTTTCAATGACAATATCAAATTTTATGTTAGTTTGTCTCTTTCGTGGGGGTGGCACCGCACCTACATGGTTTATTCGATGTTTTTGAAAAGAATAACTTTTTTGGGCGTACCTGTATCACGTTTTATAGTAGAAAAATAGATATCTAGAACAAATCTGTGTAAAAAATATATTATTGGTAGAGGTCGCTGCGAACAACTGTTTTTGAGTCATTGGAATTTGAAATAATCGATGCATTTGAATTATTTCCATGGGGCTTGTAAGATATTGCGCAATTTTTCTCGTGCTTGTCTGTGCATCTTCTTCAATTGCCTGAAGAACAGCTTCTTCAATTTCTTGAGTCCTATTTGTCAACGGTCTGCCTATCACTCCCATGGAAATAATTCAAACGTTGCTCGCAGCGACTTCTAACAGGAATATATTTTTTTAGACAAAAGTATTCTAAAAATCTATTTTTCTACCATAAAACGTGAAACAGGTACGCACAAAAAAGTTATGACTTTTCAAAAGACTCAAAAGACATGTAGGTGCCGCCAACCCCACGAAAGAGGCAAACCAACATAAAATTTGATAGTGTCATTGAAAAATACCCCTAAATACCAAACTTTATTCGAATATCACAATCATTTCGAAATTTATCAACAAAAAACAGAAAAAAGAATTCATTGTCAAACTCTGTATCTCAGAAACGAAGAACTTTCTGACATATATTTATACGAACTTTTCTTTTTATTTTGACGTCAGCAACATGCTCCTGAATTTTCTACACGTACTTAAGAAACACCCTGTATACAGCATTCATAAAAGACTAGTAAATATTTTTGCCTAAACAATATTGGAGATTTAATTTTCAGAATATAGTTTCAACAATGATCTTCTATTATCTCATGAAGTTTGCGGTTGCTTGGGCGTTATTATCCATCAGTTTAGTTGTTTGCAGATTCATGTTTTATAAAATATGATATAAATAACAGAATAGGTATATATGTCGGCGTCATTCTCTGGAATGCCTAGTCATTTATTCACGAATTGCCGGCAAACAGCGTAACTCTAAATTTCGTACACCATTTGCCTAATAGTTTCAGGCATTCCCTGTAATGACGGAACGGAGGTTCATTTAGTCTGAGTTAGCTAAGGTTGTTTAGAAGCAGTAGTCTCAAGTAATTTTCTAAAAAATATACTTTCTAGGAAGTAGGTTCATCTAGGCGGAGTTTGGTTATATTTTGTTTAGGAAAAATGGTCTCCCATCTTATGCATATGCAGAATAGTTATTTGTTTAACTAGGCAGCAAAGTAGTAGATTGACTGCCGAGGCTGAATTCATAGCCGAGCGTAGCGAGGCTAAGATTTCAGCTAAGGCAGTCAATCTACTTTGCTGCCGAGTTGAACATATAATTTTTTCTCCGATTGTTCATAATGATATATATATCTCTTTATTTTTCCTGTAATGTTCAATTAAAATAAAATTTGATAGATATCGCAGTTGTTGGAATGGTTGGTTGCTATGGAAATGTCCATAATAATTATTATAGTTTGAAAATTCATGAAATTTCTGACAGTTGTGCGAAAAAATATCGGATCATTCAAATTATTATATAATGGACAGTGATAGCGACCTGGAAGTACTTACACCTCCAGAAATGAGGGAGGTGGCAAAAAATATAGAGTTGAATTTGTTGCCGGAGAAGTCTCGGGTGAAATATGAAGGAAATTATAAACGATTTATGGATTATTAATTTTGCTGATACATATCAATCAGCAAAGTAACCACTTTGCTGCCTAGGCAGGAAAAGTAATACTTTGCTGATTGATATGTGTCAGCAAAATTAATATTTGCTGCCAATCGGAGGAAAAGATATTTTCCTTCCTCAACCCTCCGTCAAACAGAGTAACTGCTGAAAATGGAAGTTTGCCGACAATACGTGAAATGATTAGGCATTCCAGGGAATGACGGATTTCACTTATTGACGCCGACATATACATTTTGGGTGAAATCTCAAGTCATCAAGGCAAGCCAAATATAATTACAATGAAATAATTCACCCACATAATATACCGCCGTAATATACTGCCAAGCGAACTAAAGCAAGTTGACATAATATCAAATTTTTAAATCCTCAAACACCTGACGTACGAATGTATGAGTTTTAAAAAGTCACTTAAGACACCTTGATCAAAAAAGACCCTTTCTGATTCTTTCAATTCAATTCAAATGGACCGCGAGTCGCCGGCGATGTTTTTTGCTGAATTTATCTCAAGTGACTTTGTGAAGACTATACCTAATGTGAAGAAATATCCGCCTATTCATTTTATTGATGTATTTCAGGGATACTTTTACCTTCTTATTCAGGGTGTCCCTGAAAGGTCTGTACACAATCTCAGCACATATTCCTGAGCTCAAATTAAGCCGATTAAAAGCAACTTATCTCAGTCCGAAATTGCTCCGTTTCCGAGATACACGGTGCTGAAGTTAAAGAATAAAAATCGTTTTACTTCGAAAATTGGTATCCGGGGGTACTTTGGGATGTGAAACCTAAATACGGACATATTTCTTACTGTTGCTATTAGATGGCACTTCATATTATGGTTTAGAATGACCATAACTTCTTTCTCAGTGTAGTTTTCTACTTTTTTCGTTGAGTGAATCATTTTCCGAACAGTTTTAAGCAAAAAATGGTACTCTTGAAAATCCGCTAAAGTAATAAGCCGAACTCGAGATATTTTGGTTTTTAGTGTTTGATGCCGCACCGGAATATTTGAATTATTATGAATAAGGAATGTTTGCTGTTATCTTCGTGGATGTTGTTGAATTAGCAGTGCAAAAATGAATTTCGCAAAAATGTTTTCTTGGAGTGTACTTGTCGATTTTGATTTTTTAACTTAACTCCCCTGTATTTCGAAAACGGAGCAATTTTGGACCAAGGTAAGTTGCGTTAAATTGGCTTGAAACTTTGGCGACATACTTACTTAGTTATTTTTTAAACAAGTGAGTGATTTGCATTTTTGTTTTTCGTGAAAATGTGACTTTTTATTTATGTGTTTTCTTACCAGTCAGATGTTTTTTCTGAAAGTCCCTGTCTCTTTCTTCTTATTCTTAAATCAGTTCTTTGTTTCTCCTCTTTCACATCCTTGCCCACAAATTCTTTCTCATTCGTGGAATATTTCTTCTGGTTACTGTAACCATTTGTATTTGTATCATTAATTGTTTTGATGGGAAGATCCGAAACAACAGTGTAGGATTTCAGTACTTGGCTATTCTTAGAATCTAGAGGTATGTGCATATTTCCATAAGGATCATTGTAGTCATTGGTGACTACGCTTGAAGCTTGCTTTGCTTTTTTTCGAAGAATGTCTGTAAGACCTTCTTCCTCAATCTGCAAGCCATCGAGAATATCTTGTTTATATCTTTCAATTTCTTGCTGGAAATCACTATGTTTGAATTTTGGTTTTGGCTCCGTTAGAGGTATAGCTATGTCACCTAGAAATCCACCTGAAATATGCAAAAACAATGTTTTGGATATTTGGGAGGACGAAATATAGTAGGTATAGGTTATAGCATTGTTCATTTGTTTCTATTTGAGAATCAAATTGAAGTGGAAAACAGGAGATTGGTTCATTCTGAAAATTTTGTTACGTCAATATATCGCACGTGATCCAAAGGTTGAACATATTTTCAGCGATGCAGCGTTGATGTTTATACCAAAAAAATAGCATCAACTTCGATATTTTAAATGCATTGCATTTTTTGATTTGTAATCACATTCTGGAGATTCTTCCTATACCAATCTCTAACGGTTTATTTCGAGTCAATAATTATTATTTTCGATATTTTTTGTTCAAAATACTTGCGGTAGCATACCAAGGTACTTCGTATTAGCTTTTTATGGAGAAGTTAGTTCTGCACTAAACAGGGTCGATACAAATTTGTGATTTTACCGCATGATATTAAAATGCTGACTATTTTGAATGACTTGATCGGCAATGCGTTTTATAAATTCATTCAGGAAAGCCCATGCATTGGAAAAATTTACTCGTGAAGCTGAAATGATATAAGTACAAGTGAAACTTGAGGTAGAACGTCATTAATTTTGAAAGGCGATATAAAACAATGCAAAAAAGTAGACTTCCATGAGAAAATTTTGTTGAGAAATGCTTCCTAACAAAGATACAGGGTTTCAGAAACTGGTTTTCTCAAAATTAATCCACTCTACTGATTTCGATCAAATTAATGAGACATATTATGTAGTACTGATGTAATGTAAGTAATGATTGGAATCATTCGAAAAAATATTCTGTGGCGTAGATACTATATGTATATAGTATTCTTCTCGCTCACCCAATTTTCGGCTCCTCTGGATATTCTACTGGGAAGATTCAATTTTTTTATTCGCTCTTCGAATTTAGAAAATGAAATGATTCCTGAAAATGTCCGATTAATGGTTTCACCTTTGAAATATTTATTTAAATCCAAAGGGTTGCAAGCAAGTAAAAACTCTACAGATTCTGTACAGGCTGTGAATAGTATCTATGGCTTCCGATGATCTTTATATGAAGTACAAGTTACAGTTTCGATTTTGATATTTCCAAACGTAACGCAGCCCTTCGAGAAGTCAATCGAGGGATCAAAACTGTGACAGTTTTCTCATGAAACTCTACTCTGAAAAATAATGACAACCCTGTACAATATAGATGTGTTCCACACTTCTCACTTATGCAGGGTGGTTCACCTCATAGTAGCTGAACTTTGACATTCGATAAAAGATCGTACACTTTGACTTAGTTTCAAATATTTTTGGGGTTGATAATAAATTATGAGAATTCGGTAAACGACATGAAATGTACAGGGTGGGCCAAAACGATATCACTTAGTAAAACCCCTGACATTTTCGACATTTTGCTGTTTTTTCATGTTATGGTAACCGACTGAAATAATCTGCTTTTCTTGCTCGACCATTTTTGGCCGAGTAGATTCAGCTTGATCCACACAAAAGAACACTTTTAGATCAAATGCTCTCGCATCAGAACAGTTGATTGGGGTTATTGATAACAGAGGTGGCTATTTCCCAGCGAGCACAAACATCCCTGGGATGTTTTGGGATGTTTTGAAAATATTGGCATGAAGATGTTATTTTGAGACGTAATATGCACTGACCAAAGAGGTCTTTGAAGGATATTGAAGTATTGTTTTTGTTCTTCTGTGGCATTTCCTTGTTTGCCTACTGAGAGGTATCCCTGGGATGTTTTAGAAATGTAGGCATGAGGATGTTTTTTTTGAGGAGTAATATGCACTTCCCAAAGAGGTCTTAGAAGGATATTGAAAGTATTGTTTTTGTTCTTTTGTGCCCTTTCTTTGTTTGCCCCACCACAACGTCTCATGCTTACGTCACAATACGATGAATTCTGATTTGTTTTCGATTTTGTTCTTCTTGTTCGCAATTGGCATTCGCGTTTGCAGCGTGTCACGCTTACATCACGCTGCTAACGAACAGAAAGGAATTTGGTGAAGTTTATTGTGTTAGAAGACTTATTTAGTTTGTAATAATGACCATCAGATGCAAGATGTGTTGTTCGGTGCCTCAGTGTAATCAATATATAATAGTACGAATTCATCAATACACAGCTTCTCCGCAGTTGCAAAATTATGCATTGTGGAGAACATTTCAAAAATTGGGAAACCTATTTCCAATTATATGTCTGTGTGTAGTAAGCACTACTCAGAAACCGATTAAGAAGGTGATTTCATATCAAGAAAATATTTTTATGTTCAATCTATTTTCAATGCATTTTTTCATTCAAGTGGAATGGAATCCTAATGCAAAAGTTCATTTTGACAAAAGGCTTCAGAAAAGTACCTCGAAAATGTTTTTTTACAGCGATTTAATGTGCGCAAGACGCTTTGAAAATGTTCTGTTGTGTCCATGAAAAGGCTTTGAAAAGAACTAGGGAGAAGGTAGTTTTGTGACATCAAAAGGACATCGCGATAATTGCCGCCTGCGGCGGACATTGCCTGTTCTATAATAGTTCTTTTCATGTGTGAACAGAACATCGCAGTGGAGGTTCAATGTCTCGAAATCTCGTACTTTTAACATCTCTGAGATGTTTTTGTGCTCGCTGGGTTCTTTATTGACTAGTGGTTCATAAAATGACCAAAACTACCTCGGTAGTGAAAACATACATCACGTCTTGAAAAGGAGTGAATAATGGTAGGTTTTATAGCTAGTGGTGAAAAATTGCTCCTTTCGTTCTAAATTGCTGTTTTAAGAATATAATTCTTATTTTACATCAAACACGAATATAGTTTGTGGTTCTAGTCGTAACTTATGGTTCAGGAATGTTTTTGACTCCCGTTGCATTTTTTCCTGGTGGCGCCCATGCTATTGATATCAGCTGTAAAAAGCTCACTACGTGAATGTATTCGCTTGCTCACAGTTACTTAGTAAGTATATTATGTAACTTAGTTTTTTTTTCTGGTTTTCTAGTAATTGAAACGAATTATTTTTTTTTTATTTGAACACTCTGTATATCGAAAACGAAACGTCTCACGACCAATGCTTCATACATAGAGAATGTTCTACCTTAAATAGAATATATCACCCTGTAGAATATTATTGCTATATTGAAATATTATCATTTTTCCGACGCCCAAGAGGGTAAAAGGAAGGGGAGAAAGAAAAAAGACATATTATAACCTACCTATATCTAATCATATGTTATACAGGGTGTCCCGAAATTACTTAGGAAGATTTCAACTGCAGCCCGAGATGGAGGATTTCTCTAAATATTTTCTAAAACCTTTATGATAAAATAACCAAATTTTGTACAAGTAGGTACCTGAGTTTTTATGGCCAATAGGAAAATGTTGAGAATATTTTGGAATTCGTTTCAAGGGTATGGGAAATGCTGCAAAATAGAAGTATGTAGTTGTTTTTCCTAATAGGGAACGGAATTTTCCAAATATGATGATATATGGAAAATACCGTCTTTGAACATTCACCTCCGATGTTTTAATTCAAAATAACGTTGGTGCAATGAGAAGAACAAATTTGAAAATTATTATTGTAGATAAGGAAAAAGGCATCATTTTCATTACGCAGCAGAGTTTTGAAATCGATTTATCTCGAAAACGGTCCATGATATCCGCAAACCATTGAAAAGGAATATTCTATCCCAAAGCGTTTCGAATATATTTACAAAAAACCTGAATCTCGGGCTCGCTTTCAGATAGTTATAACCGTTATCTATAACCCCCTATAGGGACCCACGTTTGTGTAAACTTTTTCGACAAACTTATATTCGTTCATAGAATCTGTGGCTGTAATCTTTCTATGTAATTTCAGGACACTATGTATAAACAGCCAAGTATTTTCATACTTTTGATTTTGATATACAGGGTGAGTCAAAAATGTGTAACGAGCTTCCTGGAGGTGATAGTTCATTCAAAAATAAGTATAGTTTGATGAATAAACCAATGGCCCGAAATTTATATTAGTTGATCAAATTAAAATAATTTTTCCGCATAAGATCTAAACTGTAAATACCACCAGATTGATATTTCCTCCATGAATGTATGTCGATAAGATACATTTTTCTGATACATTTTTACATTTCTGAAATAATTGTTATAAAGGTTGTTCAACTTCTTTCCTCGTATTCTTTTTGGTGAAAAAATAAAAGCATTTGATAAAGCAAAAAAATTACATAAGAACGGTACTCTTATCGGAAAACAAAAATTGTAACCGTTTTCGAGATATTTCAGTTTTTGTAGTGACATGATATCAGCAGATACATTCATTAGTAATAATATTTCAGGAGACTTAAAAATTTTTGGCCAGAAACCATCTCTAATTTCAATTCTAAAACATTTCTTTTCACGCAATTTTTGCACATGACTAAAAATTGTTCTAGAATTTGGAACGCGTCGAGCGTGAAACGAATAACCAGTAATTTCTTAAAATCTCAGAAATAATATGACTATGCAAAAAACTGAACAAGGAAATTAACAATAACAATGCTCATGTCATGAATGTCAATATCAAGAACAAAATTGATTATGGTCTCCTAAAATATTGTTACTGATGAATTAATCTGCTGATATCAAGCGACTACAAAAACTCAAATATCTCGCAAACGGTTACAATTTTTGTATTTCGATAGGAGTAGCGTTTTCATGTAATTTTTTTCGATCTATTACATGCTTCCTTTTTTTTCACCAAAGAGAATACGAGGAAAAAAGTTGTCTTCAAAAAATCATGACCCGCCCACTAAAAACAACAATATAACAATATCAGAAATGTAAAAGTGTACCAAAAAAATTCATTTCATCAACAGACCTTCATGCAAGAGATCTCAATTTCGTGACTTTCACCGTTTATATAGAAGTTATGCGGAAAAATTATTTCAATTTTATCAACTTTGGAAGGATATATCTCCCTTAATATACATTTTGGGATATTAGTTCATCCATCAAACTATACTTATTTTCTAATGTACAATCACCTCCAGAGAGCTTGGTACACATTTTTGACTCACCCTGCACGGAAAAAAAGGAATTGTTGAATCAAAATTTAATTGAATGGAGCGAATAAAAGTGTCATATATGCACGACAAAATATAATCTCGAAATGAGTAAATCTATATCTTGTTTCAGAGCGAATTTGAAGTTTGAAGTAAATATGTCTTGCATTAACTCTGGATCCTCTTCAATCAAGCACATTCATGAATTGTTTATGAAGAGATATTGAATTGGATCAAACAATCTTTTTGTTTCATTCAAAATAACAACATATTGCCTCAATCAAATATTTAGTTGATTCAACGAAATATTTGGTTGATTCAACGAAATATATTTGGTTGATTCAACGAAATATATTTGGTTGATTCAAAGCAATATTTGGTTGATTCAATGAAATATGTGTTTGATTCAATGAAATATTTGGTTAATTCAATGAAATATTCTGTTATTCAAGAGGAACTATATATCCATTCGACAAATTATTATGGTGAACCAAAATTCAATATTCGTGAATTTTCTGAAATTTCACATCAATAGAATAAACAAAACTAGGAAACAAGTCGACTTCTAGCATAGATCTTCAGTCTTTACTTCTCCTCAGCTGATGGAAAACTATTTCGGATTTCTAATCATCCTAAGTTCGATTTATCCAGCTGATATTTCAAACACGAAGAATCAGGCTTCACGTATATAATGAATTCGAGGCAGGCATAGACGGAGCGAAATGATCGCCATCTAGAGGCGGAAATTTAAGTTGATGTAGAATGGAGAAAATATTTCATTGATATTACATATTTCGTTGCTCTATTCAAGCAAATGATCCGTTCGAAACAAGTTCATTGCTACATCGGAATAAGAAAACTTGTATGTTGTTTCAAAGATATATTCCCATCAAAATGATCATTATTTGATCAAATCAACAAAATGTTTATAGTTGAATCAACATCGACATTATCTTGGATCAACATAAATTGTTTTTGATAAAACCATATATTTTGTTGATGGAATTGATATTATACTGTTGATTCAATTAGACTACCTACATTCTTGATTTGAACAAGCTGCTTCCATGGAATGATCATGTACTTATCTGGTTGATTCAACAAAAAATTGCTTAGTCCAACAAAAATAATTCAAGCATAAATAATTTGTTGATGCAACAAATCCTTTTTTTCCGTGTGTATATAAATTCATTTTGACTTTAATAATGTTGCGACGTGGCTGTGCTACAAAGTCACTTAGCCAAAATCCGTTACCTGCTTTACATGGATCCAAATCAATATCCGATGATGTCTTTTTGGGAAAAACTCTCGTTAACAATTCTTCAATAGTGAATTTTGCATGTGAATGGGACTTTACGATTGGCCCATCACTTTTCTCGATGATCACAGAGCTGAACACGAATGCACTTTGTGTGAAACATAGCAGCCCCAAAAGTTTCACGACTAAATCAGCCATATTATTAACACACCACACAATTCATCGTCTCAAACCATAATTCTGAGATAATTTTTTCATTCGATTCGAGTGTGTCAATATAAAATGTTCAGCGATTATTACTGAACCGTATTCTTTATCAGCTTTGTTTACGGGTTGAAAGAACAAAGATCACTGATCTACTCATCTTAGCAGATGCATCATCCATTCGTTTTCCTATAAAATACCAAAATGATTAATCTGTTCATTAATGAAAACTGATACAAAGCATAATTGGATATTTTGGAATTGAAAGTAGTAAATAGATACCTACCTATTATTTAATTACGTAAATGTAGGAAAACTCTAAATCGTTTCGGGCCTCATATTCAGCTAATAATTGATATGTTGAATTATGGAGAGGAAAAATAACATTTTTTTTATCTCTGGGCGAACGAAAAGGAATCCCTATAATCTTTGAAGAACATAGTGAGTACCTAGGGAGGAAAGAGAGGACATTTTTTGAACTTTTGGATATCAGAAGGTCTCAGTAATACTTCCTTTGGCAAAGAAATTCGCCAACCAGTGGCGTAGTAAGGGTCGTATGTCGCCACATTTTCCTTCAAAATTCTTCTCAAACAGATGAATTATTAAATTAGTGGATGACATCAGTTAGGATTATCAATACTCAACCTAAAAGTTTGCCTGAATGTAGAGGTTCCGGAGATATTTGCAAAAAACTGGTCTTGAGGTAATATTGAGTAGAGGCCAATTTGCTGCGTACCATAATCGCATAATGGTAATATTATACGAGATATCGATATTATTTTTCAACCTCCGGAATATTTTACACTGCCAAAAAATTTAAAAACATTGTGTGGGTGAGTCAGAAGTAAATCGACAAACTCGAGGTCAATAATAGTCGTAAGCTATCTTAAATTTGTCAGAACCACCAAACTATTGAAACAACATTTTTCAATTAAGGGGAACCATGGCAACGTTTTTAATATGTCAAGTTTTTGATTTAGTCATTCAAATTTTCATCCATTGTCTTCAGGGGGCTTGAGGATCATTGTATCCACGAAGCTCTTAGCCCTATACATATGAATCTCCCTTGGATGGTTGAAAACAGCTCAAATTATTGCCATGCTTCTTTTTTATATTCCGCACACGTCTACAATGCTGTAGCTTCTTCTTTCCGCCATCCCTCAGTAGATATCTAAAACCGCTCCTGTTTTCGTGCCAAAAAACTGTTTGTAGCAACTTTTCAACGCAGTAGCTCTGACACGAAGATATCGATAAGTATGCGGTTTTCACCATTTGCCAATGGAAGTATTCTCAAGAAATTATAACCTTCAAAAGTTGAAAAAAAATCCTACACCTACCTCCTCTTCCTATGTCCTCCCTAGGTAAAGTTTATGCAAAGTCAGTTGAACAGATCATCAAACGAATGTCGGGCTGCGCTGCCGCACTCTTTGAACTCTCAAAGGGACCGACGGCTTGCGGTGATGTGTTTTTCCAACTGACTTTGCATAAACTATACGCACGATGTTCTTCGAACATTATAAGAATTTACCTACGGCCACTATAGAAAGTAGGCAAGAATACAAAGATACAGCCTCAGTAATAAGTAGCTCTTTACACACAGTAAGTACATCGCACAGTTTTCGTTTATTCCGCCAGTATAGGTACGTCATGATCGCGTAATCGCCGTCAACAGCGGATGACATAACTGTCAAGAATTATAATTCAGACTGTTTGTCCAAACTTTTTGATGTATACTATATGGCAGTAGGTAAAGTATAGTACGTGCGTAATATGTTTCTAACAACACATTTTACGTAATATACTATTACTTGTTCCCTCCAAGAGATAACAAATTAGTTTTCTCGGTAGCGGCTGGTTGAAGAACTTCAGCAGAATTAAAATTCAGTAGAAGTCTTTCAGCAAATGGAAAAAAAAAATAGAAAGAATTATAATTATATGCCCAGCAAATTCAACTTTTTTGGTAGGCAAAGTATGTTCCCCCTTAATATACATATTTTACTGCCAATATCCAATTTTAAATTTACTTTGCATTTGATGATTGATTATTGACAGGGTGTAACAGGATCATGGTACATGAAACCATTTTGATGAACTAAATTTGGTGAAAAATGAAGAAACTTTACATTTTTGAAAAGATTCAATTTTTTTTAGTATTGCGCACCTGTCGATGTGAGTACATCAGACTCGATCAGAATGGCACACTCAGATGGAAGATCGGAAATGAAATTTAAATCGATATTGGAGTTTGAAATATCACTTCTGTGGTATCATAGTATTCAGAAAATGATAAGAATTCGAAAAGGCAGAGATGTACAGGGTGCTTTATTTGAAAATCAAAAGTTATTACCACTTACGGTGAAACCAGAAGTAGAAAATAAAACATATTCATGTCATAACATAACATTTATCGATTTATCAGGTTGATGGCTCATTCCAAATTTCACTCAGTTATATCTTTAAAACTGAAGGAAAAAAGGGGGTGTATCATGATCCTGTTACACCCCATATAGGGTCCCTTTCCCCATTTAACAGATTCAGTGAATTCGTCCCAAATTCATGCAACATTGTAACTTTGATATGATAAACATTTTGACTTTTCACATATAGTGATTAAGAAATATACATTTCCGCGCGATCTTTGATATACCTGTTACATAAAGGAACACCTAATTGATTCATTAATTATTTGAGCTCTGGGATAGGTAGGTTGATATACGTGTTTCTATTGATCGACCTATATACATACTAGCAATGTTGCATTCTTTTTTTTTCTGATTTGTTCTTTGCTTAATCCACTTTCGATCGATTCATCCTTGATCAAACTTTTGATCAATCTTGAAATAGTAAAAAATGTTACACATTTTCACGAAACTTCTTCATCATTTCATTACAATGGATGAAAATTTAGGATGAGATGGGAAATATATAGAAAATAACTGCCTGCATCTGTGAATTCTATAGGTAACAAGTTTTCTAGCCAAATATTCAACTTATATAAGTACCATCTCTTTTTTGATAATAACTTATAGGGTATAGGTATGTTTATTCTTCACAGCTCCAACATGACAAATTCAGTTTACTAACTGCCCTATTATCCAAATTTCATGATTAATTAATTTGGTTGGAACAATACTCGATGAATAACGCGAATAAATAATATTTTTGTATCCATCAATGTACTTACACTGCTGTATCCTTTCTTTCAGGAAAGAACAAAGAACGGAAAAAAACACTTGCTACTTCAACTAGGTACCTATTACCTAATTCTATAGTCAGAAACGACCTGATGATCCGTTAGACACTTACATCCAAGTTAAACTGAAACTGTGCTATATTGTGTTACTCAACATGCAGCAAAAAGCAGTAATCCTACCCTTCTCCTGAGGGTGGGTGATCATAAACTGACAGCAATAATTGAATTCCCGACCCTATTATCTGTGAAGTTACATTCCCTATGCGACGGCTTATAGTCGAGGGTAACATTTGATATCCATTATCTAATCAGAGTCTAGTATGCATAGAGAGCACAGGGGCTGATATTCAGGGTGGTTCAGAAGTCGAAAACCAAATCCTTACAGGGGATTTATCTGATAAATTGATTTGAATAATGTAATGTAGCAATATCCGAAAAAGCATTGTACATTAAATTAAAGTTAGGTGAGAAGAAAATCAAATATTTTCCTTCATTCTATTTCTTGAACCACCAGAGGCAAATAGAGAGATGGAATTCAAAATTTCGAATTCAATCTCTGAATTTCGTTTAAGTTTCCGACGCCCTAACGACCTGAACTTTTTGTACATAGCTTCAGTTCTGATGACCAGTAGTAGTAGTAGTAGAGTCAAACAAGTCAAACTTTTGATCCGAATGAAATATGCTATTTTTTCAGCAACCGAAATAATTAACTGAAATAAATATCTGAAGTAACCACCAATGTGACTTACTTGACAGATTATTATAATACCTTTATTATAATAATATAGGTATGTAGATAGAAGCAATACCTTAGACTACTTTACTTTAGAATATTGGTGGACGATGACTTTACTTTGTTACAGGCACGAATTCAATACTATACCCGAAACGTGGATGCCGTGCCATATATCTATGCAATATGCTACAAATAATTCGTGTGGTGAGAATATTCTACCTGCATTAACAGATCAGGTTTATTCAAGGATGTTCGAACAACCACAGAGTGACCCATTTGTGTATTCTATTATCGATGAATTCATTTGGACCAGGTGTCAGCCCTAATAGCAAATACCGCGCCAGTGCCAGGTATAGGAAAAAGAAGTGGAAAACGTTAGGTTAGTGAGCATATCAACAATAATAATAGCGATTATTTATGTCTCTCCATATTCCACTGTGTTTGTCTCGGTAATCAAATAAAGGTAAACAATATCGTTGTGTGAGACAAGAAAGTATTGCTGGCCGTGATTATTCAAAAACAAGTTATCCAATCAATCAGATCCCGAGTATGAATGAAATACAGATCAAGCAAGTATGTGAATCTTGAAGGCTTTCCTGATCAAAACAAAAATACTTATCTATAATATGGTGTATTTATATCTCTAGCATGGGTATGAAATGCCAAATCTGCTGAAATCGTGAACGAATCAAGTATGCGTCCCAACCCAAATAACCAAACATAACAATGTTGTTTATTCTTGATGACCTAGTACATCCTTTTCAGTTCCTAACTAAACTAAAAATGTTTGTGTCAGTAATAGAAACCTCAATTCATGAGCTAATTTTGGTATTGAAATGGACGACGTTTATGTCGGTTGCAGAAAAAATTGAATATACCAATCATTCTCAATCCAGGCGACTGCTGAACATTTTTCCAGACAAGGTGTCACCGACTATGAATTGGTTGTTTTAGGATCTCCAATAGTGGAAGTTTCGAAATGTTTTCCTCGTTTTTTTTATATATCATCCACATACTTTTATTGAAATATTACTCATATCATTTTAATATATACACTTCTACAAGAAATTAACGCACCATCAAAAAGTCGCCAAAAGTCTATGGAACATTTTCGTCAAAAGTTCTTGTCCGATTTGGACGTTTT